ATTTTAAAATATCGGAAAAGGACATCTAGTTGTTTTAAGACTGTCCCTTCTTAATATTTTAATATACATAAATATAACCATTAATCCAATTATGTAATTGGTTAAGTTATACTAATGAGGCTTTTAAACAAAATAAAATATGATACATTGAAGCACTTAAAGAAAAAAAATATAAATACACATGGATTAAAAGAACAATTCTAAATTTATTTTTAACTTTACATTACTTTAAAAAAATATATAAATATTTTCTAAATATTATACTAAACATAGAACCAAATATTTATTCTAAAATAAAATTAAAAAAAATATAACATTTATACCATGCTCTACATACAATCTTATGTACATAAAATAATGTATAATAATACAAGTGAAATAAATACCTAGAACATAAAAATACTTTAATGGTACAAAGAAATAATATACACTTGGATTCATTCATAATATAGTGACAAAATAATTATAAAGTAACTTTGATATCCTAAACATTAATAAAACAAATATTATAACATTAAACAAGAAAATAACACATAGAAGCACTAAAATCATAATAAAACCATAAACATAGGACTAAAATATAAAAACATCAACATCAGTAGCCAATCTCGAACAAAAAATAATACATCCAACAGAGGACTAAATTACAATAATATAAAATCATGCATCTAATTCGTAAATCTTAGAAAATAAAAGGAAATGATGACTAAATCACAAAACATGCTAAAATGTAAGGGACCTACGGCTTGATTTATCCTAAAAAGTTACTAAATCACGAATCACATTAAACATAAAGGACCAGTAAGGTAGTTTAACCTAAAACTAGTGGCCAAATAAAACATGCTAAAGGTCTGAGGACCTTTAACGTGGTTTACCCAAAAATATTAAGATATCAACTCTTCTTCCCCTTTCCAGAATCATTTTTGCCGTGGTTTTCTAAACCCAAACTTTCATTTCCCTTTCCTCTTCTCCCTCAACTCACGGTGGCTACCTATGCTCCGACCACCTCCATCGATGGTTGGGCTCAAACCCGAACGAAACTAAACCGGAATCCCAGCCCTCACCCATCTATATTCCGTCGAGAAGATCAACAAGGAAGGTAAGCACTATTCTCTCCTTTTCTCTTTACTATCTTTTTATGGAAACTACATACATACATAAAAAAAATAAAAGGAACGAATAGGAAATGAACCTTTTCTGCCAGGAAGAACTTTCTCTGTTTTTTTTTTGTTTGATTTCTCCAAAATATCCTCTGTGTTACATTTCAATCGGGTTTTTTTATATCCCATGGAAAAAAATGCATAGGCTTTAAATAAAATCCTAGATCTACTGTGGTGCTATAGTGTTGATGATGGAGCGTTTTTAATGCTCCAGATATTCCGGGGTTTTGTCGAGCAAGTTTGGACCGGCGGTGACGGCTGAATCATGGCATCTCTATGGTTAGGATTAGGTTAGGGTTTTGTTTGGGTATGAAAAATGGTGGTTACAGTTGTCTAAGATGGTAATTGTAATATTCTTCATGTTGTATTTTCCTTTGTTGAAAGAGAAGATACAGAGTCTTTGGTTTTTTTTTTCCTGAGAAATTTTCGGTTACATGTTATCACGAGGGAACATATTTGTATCATTTCAGACCGAAGAGATGGGATCAAAGCAACAATTGACTCTTTGGGTCCAATGTGGAAACCCTCACATGTCCAACATTGTCTCTGTATACAACATGTTGCTGCAAACTATCATGGCATATATAAGAAGAATAATGAACAACAATTAATTATATGCGTGGGTATGTTATATTTTTCCTAATTTCATTTCTCACTCATGTTTATTTTTATACTAACTACTTCAATTTGCTTAGGTTACGAACTCTCACCTCAAACGTTTGAGATTATACTTCAAGAATTATGAGTAAAAAATGAACATGGATACAAGTACATCAATTAAATCAATAAATAAAAATGGACAAACACATATGACGGTGGATATCAATATAGACATATGACAACCAATTTAGTTGAGGCAATCAATTCAACCTTAAAGGGGACTCGTCATATACTAGTAACTGCTTTGGCTAAAACGATGTGTTTTTGTTTGGGTCAACTTTTTGCCAAGCTCGGGGGACAAGCTCTTACTTGGATACAAAACGGTCATGTTCATCACCCGCGATTAGTAGCAGACCAACAACAAAAGGTTGCAACATTAAAAAACATGTCCGTAATAAGTTTTTCTCGCACCCAAGAATTATTTCGGGTCATAGCAAATGCCATGACCTCTGCAAGGGGTTTAATCTAACTCTTTCAGAGTCAATCTATGGGATAGATGATGTGACTATGGGTTTTTCAAGCTTTGAAGTATCCATGCTCCCATGTCACAGCAGCTTGCTCATTTTCTCATCAAGACTATAAGCATTATGTGGATCCCATATACCAACTTTCACAAGTATTCAAGGTATATGAATGAGTTTCCCCCATAGGTAATGACAAAGACCCAAATGAGGTTCAGACTTAGACCAATTATACCAAATTCAGACTTAGCTTCCAATTATACCAGATTAAGACTTATTAAAGAAGCCATGTAGTTCAAAATCCACTCAAATTCATTGTGATGTGAATATTCGAGAGACGTCAAGACAAAACTTAAGATGTGGTCATTGCGAAAACCCTAACCACAGTACGAGAAACTGTCCATCTCTTTCATCATCACGTAACCGTTGACCACCACCCATGTAATCATATTTTCTAATATTTCAACTTATGTTATTTCATTTTCTTTTAGTTTCAATTAATGTGATTTCAACTTGTTTATTTTACAAGATGACCCTTTCGTATATCTATATAATTTTCCAATTAAATATTTAATGTTTATTTCTTACGATCTAACATACAATCAACTTTAACCCTACCCTACTTTAAAAACACAAACATTCTAACATACAATCAATTTTAACCCTAAACTTGTTTAAAACCCCTAAATCATACAAATATAACACTCTAAACCACTAAAAACCCAAAAATCGCTTTAATGTAAAACCTTAAACCTAAAATCTTCGGGCATGAGAGGCGTATTCCCTACAACACACATTCAAGGAAGGCACGTTCCATAGGACACGACATTCATAAAACCCATGGAAGGCGCGTTTCATGCGACGCACCTTCCCTCCTCCTGACTAAGACGTGTCTTCTGCCATGGGACTCCTTCTGTCTCCTGAAAAAAAAAGGTCTTATATTGGGAAATAGTTAGTAGTAAAATATGTTTGATAGGTAGTATTTTTTTAATAGGGTAATTATTTGGTCAAATTGCCGGCTTTCATGGCCTTGTCATTGGGCATGAGACTAAATTCATAGGAATAAAACATGTACGGAATTTGGATGTATGCATGTGGGGGCGTAGACGCTTGGAACGTGGACCTAATTACTCATTTATAGTAAACCCTTTTTTATTTTATAAAAAGGATTATAATTATTTTAAGAATAATAATATAACTTTTACATCTTTACATGCTTCAATAATCAAGATTTTCTGTGTAGGTCAAGATTATAATGAAATAGTAATAATTATTATTTTAGTTATGATTGGCATTAAATCTCAAGTTTAATTCTGGATAATCTCACTTCTTTCTCCTTAACAAAAGTAAATAATTTTTTTTATCAAATCAAGGGAAATTCTGATAATTTTATGAATGGTTTTGGAGATTTAATCTTATCTAACCCTCAAACCAGAAGATATTATATATCAACTCCCAAATCCTTTAACTAATTACATTCACACGATAATTTTAGGCTTCTTAGTGCACTCAAACCTACGACAGTATTTACAAGAAGCTGATGTATATAATCAGATGAAAAGAATTATTTACAAGAAGGTCCTGATGCTTGAATATATTCCATATTCGGTTTCAATTTTCTTTGGTTTCCCCAATTCTTTTGTAATGTTGTATTTTTACAACATTCTAAGTTGGTAACAACTTATAGTTCACAAAATCATATGAGTTGGCTGGTATATATTCTCCCAGCAAGTCCTAAAAGAGAAATAAGAAGAAAAACTCTAGTTTGATCCTATATTCTGAGATATTCCATCCCTTTTTTCTTTTCGTCAATTGGACTTTGCTGAAAAACATTCTTCCGGAAATGGCTGCTGCCAATGCTTCTGTGAAATTGGGGTCTTTAGTCAAAGAAGTAGCCATCTGTTCCACCAAATATTGTCTGGCTTGTGGTGAATCCATTTCCGGCTTACTGGAACCGCACTTCCTAGCTTCACCACCACTGGACTTAGATCTTGCGAGGCCTAGACTCGTGGTTGGTCCAGATGGGTTCAACGAGGCTGAACTATGGCTTGAACCCGATGTTGGTTCCATTTGAGGAGGTGGGAGATGGTTGTGTTCGCCTTCATATGTTGCAACCATAACTGATTGATCATCTGCACTTCTTTGCACCTGTAAACATCAACAACAACAAAAACCAAACTTTATCATCTTCTGCTCCAATTTGTGACTGTAAATTGGAAAAGTTCTCATTCTGCAAACTGCAATGTAATGAGAAAATCACAAGAAGAGGCAGGCTTGCCTTCTTTTTAACAGGGCAGCTTGGAGCAAAAGAACACTTGAAGTAAGCTCTTGGAAAAGGATTATCCCTGGTGACTTTCTGCCCATATTTCCTCCATTGGTATCCATCCTTTACAATCTGTATTCGTTTAACCAAATTGCATAAGAAATTAAGTAAATTTGAACTACTTCAAATCCAATGAAGTTTATATTTTATGTGAAATATCTTACCAGGCCTCTATCAGATGTTTCAGTCCTGACAAAAACTCTGGAGACTTTGGCCTTTATAACTTCTTCTCTGGGTTTCTTGGATGAATCTTCATCAGTTGAGCTGCTCTCTGAGTTTCCAACGATGCCAAAGTTGTAATTATTATCATTGTTGTTGCTGTTTTCAGATTTTCTCTTCTTTGAATGGCTAAGCTCTTTTTCTGGGGTTTTGCTCATTAAATCCATCACCTGGTTTTGCAAAGCATTGTAGCTCTCACACATTGCTGTTAACATCTCTGTCAGCTTCTTGTTTTCTTCATTCACACGGTTCAACTCCTCCACTAAAGCACCAGTCTGCAAAATAAGAACACCATCAGATTAGCTTATAAATCGACAGATTCGTTTTAGAGTTGGAAAATTTTCCATAAAATATACATAAAATTTACCTGTTCTTTCACAGAAAGTTTCTTTCCAAACACAATCAAGTTTCCATTTGGTTCCTTCTTCTGAAACATAAGATAACTGATTCTCAGTTTAGGAAACTCAATTGAAATATGAACAAGAAAAGAAAAGAAAAAGAAATTTTCAAACAAATTTCGATTTACTCGTAGGAGCCTAGCCGAAGAAGGATTAAGATCCAATGAAGTATCCACCCAAGAAGAATCCATAGCTTCTTTTTAATCTTTTAACGAAGACCCGGATCGAACTTATCCACAAAAAAACCCGGAAATTTCCTCGAATTGACCAACGAAGAAAAAGAAAATAGTTTATGGTATTGATAACCTTGAGCTAAAGATATCCCAGTTTGTTCAAAAGAATTAAATCCAGAAACTATATGTAAAATTATATTTAGAAGCATGAGTAATAAAAGCCGAGGAAACCTGTAGGAAATGAAAGATTAAACAAACAGGTGAGGAAGAGGGTTGCGTGTTATGAAGGAAGGATTGGGGCGGGGGTGTATTTATATATTTACATAGTAGCCGAAACATGAAGAATGTGCTCATAAGTGGTAACAATATAATGTTTATTTCCAAAAAGAAATTTAGATCGGATTATTTGTTCGTTAGGTTTGATTTTGGCGTTTTTACCCAAAATACCCTAACATTAAATAATTTACCAGGCATCGTTTCTCCAAATATTATCAATCTAGCACCCTTTCTGACAGGTGTACGTAAAGTGCGGATTAGGAAGCATGCCTTCCTGAGGTTACGTCCAAGCTGACGCCACGGTGGAAATGCGCGATTCACAAAGTGTACATTCACGTAAAAATCTGACTAGTGGGGGAAGGCACGGATCATGAGGCGCGCCTTCCATCAAAATATCCTTTAATATAGCCCAATCGTCCATCCCCTCCCCTTAATTATCACCTACCCCTTTAAATATCGGTCATCCCCTCCCCCTATAAATATCCCCTCATACAACTCCCTCATACAACCCCAAACCACACAAAAAATCTTCTTCTTTTTATCAATTGTTCTATCAAACCTTAAGTAGATTTTATTACCATTTTTAGAAGATAATTTTTTTATTATATTATAATCATTTAATTGTTTATTATTTTATTATAGTATACTATACTAATTTTTTTTACTTTTTGTAGTTATAAAATGGTAGGCAGGTTGCTACATTTAAATAGGAATCATATATCGAATCATTTTGCCGATACGGTAACAATTTTAAATTGTGTTATTTTAATTATTGTGAATGTTTTATTTATTTATTTATTTATTAGTATTAGTTTATATTTTAATTTGTATACTATTTATTTAATTAGGGGAATGAACGTATGTTAGATCCATTTATTCGTAACGCTAAGTTAGAGATACCGAGTCGTGTCTGCCCGTATTTAGTCGAGGTTGGATTCAGTTACATAGAGAAATATGAAGGGCACTCTAACCTTGAACTTAACCTTATTTATGCACTATTTAAGAGGTGGAGACCAGAGACTCACACATTCCATCTTCCATATGGGGAGTACACTATTACGCTGAAGGATGTTTTTATATATTTGGGGCTTCCGGTAGATGGGGATGTTATTTCTGGTGTGGCGGATAGTGATAGGCATTCCTTGTGCAAGAAGTATCTTGGAGGTATCATGCCTAAATTCAACGGTGGTCGAATATCGTTATCATAGTTGGCTAAAAATTTCAGCATTTGAGTGAAGGTTGTTCCGAGGAACAGGCTAAAATATTTAGAGCTTGCATATTACAACTCATAGGAGGGATCTTGATGCCCGAAAAATTTCACAACTAAGTTCATTGTATGTGGTTGTGTCATCTTAAAGATTTTCATGTTGTCGGCTAACTCAGTTGAGGCTGTGCAATTTTGGCATCTCTGTATAAAGAAATGTGTTGGGCAACTAATTATCGAAAAAATACTATCGGTGGATCTCTCATTCTTCTCAAGTTATGGGTGTGTATCACATGCTCTTTTTATGTCCGGTCATGATCCCGTTGGTCTTCCCGTTATTGTTCAGGTAATTTCAATACTGAGTTCGTATATAAATAATTTTTTTGAGTATATAATGAATTTTTTTACAATGAATAGGTGATCATATGCAAGGAAAAATCATTGTGATATACCAGACGAATTAGAAAAAATTTAGCTATTTATTGATCAGAAGGCTGGTAAAGAGGTATGTATTTAAATTTTATTATTTACCTTTAATTATCGTTATATAATTAGAATATTATTTTTATAAGAATTATATATACTTGTTTTAGTTTCAATGTGCTCCTTATTCTACTAAATAAATGAGGCTTTGAATCCCACCTCACTTGAATGGCTCATTAGATGTATAGATGGTTGTGGTCCCTCTGATATGTTATAATTGTCGAGTGGCATCCTACTGATCGCATTCTTCGCCAATTTAACTATGTACAATATATTCCTAAAGCACCTAGGAATCTTGACAATATGTGTAACATCGATAAATGGGGCAAAAAGGATGTCAATTGGTTGATCAAGCACAATAAGTGGATAATGATCTGGGAGGATTGACATCAACGTATTCCTCATACGGAGTCGATTTATGTGGATCATTAATTGATTACGGCTAACTATTATCAGTGGTTCAACACGGACGTAAAACCATTCTACTTTTCGATGAAGCATGAGGAAGAAACATTCATCGACGTCTAGAAAAGCATCCACTATCACAACATCATCGTCCCCCAACTCGTGGATGGAGAGCAGGCGCATCCAACTCGTCCTCAGCTGCAGCACCGGAACCATCACAACATTCACCGTCTACACTAGTTTATAGTCCCACCCCGTCACTATACATTGGTCTACCGTCGGTTCAAAGGGCACCGCAGTCGTTTCAGACACCACAGCATCCAGTACAGATGCCACCACCGCATGGTTTTATGACACCTCCTAGATGATATTATACTGGCATGATTATGGATCCAGTGTGGGCTTCATATGTTGCTTAATTGGTGGGTGGTGCTTCACCACGAACACATACACCTCCGGCTCAGTATGGATCATAATCATCGATGTCGATGTTTTCACAGTTTTCATATTTCTCTATGAGCGGTGAGATGGTTAGGCATACACCTCCAGGGTTCTTATTCTATGGAGATGCTACATCATCATCTATCACTCATCAACAAAAGTTAGTTGCTACTACTGATGATGATGATGAAAGTGAGGAGGAAGAGCAAGTTATACGAAGAAACCCTATCGAAATAGATAGCCACTGCCCTGTGGAATACATTTAAGACGCATATATCGATAGACTTTTTATTTATTTTGTTTGTTTATCGGCAAATGTAATGAATTATGGACATTTTATTTATTAGTGAATTATAGACATTTGTTTGTTTGTTAATTATGAACTTTTGTTTGTTTGTTTGTTTTAGTTTGTAATGTTTTTATTTAATTTTCTTAATGTATTTATTATTTCTATTCATTTGGTGATTCTCAAATGACATTAATTGAAAATAAACGAAAATTAAAATAATACAAATTGAGATTTCAGAAACCACAATTACATGGTGATGCTCAACGGTTACGTGATGATAAAAGAGATGGACATTTTTTTATTGTTATATGTCCATATTGATATCCGTCATCGTATGCATTTGTCCATATTTCTTTGTTGATGAGGTTGATGCAATTGTATCCTTACTTATTTTTTCCTCACAAATCTTGAAGCATTGACTCAAACATTTGAGGTAATAGTTCGTAACCTACGTGTAAAATATAATACTTACTATTAAGTTCCCATAAAAAATGAAAATGGTTGAAAAATAAAATTAGGCATCGTGACATAACCATGCGCATAAGTAATTAGTATTCATCATCATTCTTAAATTTTTCATGATAGTTTACGGTAATATGTCGGATACAATATCGATATTAGACTTTGGGAGGTGCCACATTGGATCCAAAGATTTCATTGCTGCTTTGATCCTAGCTCTACGGTCTGAAATGATACATATTTTTTCTCTCGTGATAACATATAAGCATAAGTTTCTGAGGAAAAAAACCCAAGAATATGTATCTTAACCTTCAACAAGGGTAAAAGTAATTGGAAGAAAGTTGTGAATACCATATTAGACAACTACCAAAAGTAAAACTTACTTGTATTTTCCATACAAGAATGTCCCATCAATTTGGACCACGGGCTTGCAGTATTTCACAACATTAGTGCACTTTGGGTAAGTCCAAAAAAGCCGGTAGAACTGGTATCGATCTTGAAGCACTCGATCATTGTGGTATGCATGGTAACTTTTAAAGTCGACTATTGTCTCAGGATTCAGTTTGCGCACTATGTTAAACCAACTTGGTAGTTCGTTGTAAGAAAAATCCAACTCGCCGTGAAGTTTTTTAATAGCATTCTGCTTTGCCTTCCATGCTTTTATGTAAGAGATAGTATACCCATATTGAGACTGTATAGTTGAAATCAGCACCGCAATAGCTATATGGGAGCTTTCTTTGACCATGGGCATGATGGCTTGGCAGATAATGTCGGAGTTCAAGTTGGGATAATCCTAGTTGATCTCTCTAACACAACTTGTGTGAGAACTGTTGTATAATGTTAGTTCTCATATGTTGTTTTTCTCTTCTTCTTGGACACGCGAATCATTCAGTTGCATCCGTTACCACGTTGGACACAGTGGTAGACATACTTTTCGGTGGTGGATCAACCACTCTAAAGTGAACATAATTATGAATATTGTAATTCTTAATTGCAATCATCACTTTTTCTTTAGATGAAAACTTCATTCCGATATATAACTCACCATCATTGACTGATGAGTTAAATTCGTAGTCACCAATATTAGGCATATATGCAAATTTTGGCCCGTACTTTGCATCATATCAGCTTCATACATATGTGTTGGGGGTTCGGTGTGTATCGTATTTTTGGGAACTTCATCTTCATCATCCT